CTGGGTGAGGCGGGAGGGAGTGTCAGACTCTTACTGACTAAAAACCACCCCGTTCCTTCTCCTGCACGTCGAGCCGGAGCCCCGGTTACCCGTTAGGAGTAGTTGTCTCTAGAGTGTAACTGGACTATAGTTTCCCAATTTATTTAATGGTTTCGACGTCACAGAACCGTTAGACATACTTTGTATTATTCATAATAGTTATAAATACATTTAAGTATGCGTAGATCTATCTATATTACTACATACATATTCATAAATCTATAGGTAGATACATTATTCATAGTAGTTTGACAATACCTATTTACTTGCTTTAGATCTGAATGTTGACTGCCAAAAAGTATCCCCATCTCTCTCTAATCTCAATCTATTTCTCAATTATATCAAACAATGTTGCAATATATTGGACGGTAGTCATTATTTAATTACCTAAACATAGAAGGTCAATATTCATAGTATCTTGATATTTAATAGTAGTTTTTAAAGTTTAAATCAATTAATCTTCAAGATGGTCGAATTTTAAACTTTACAAAATACTAGGTATGTTTATGTTCGCGTCATTGTTTATATTGATTTATTAAATAAATACTGCCACCAGGAACACGGTCATCCATGTATGTTTGTGCTGGAATTTAATCTAAATAGGTCCAACAATTTTGGTGTAAGAATAACATACCAAACCAACAGAATTATAGTATCATCGTATAACCAACATAACCTACCAACTATATTTTGTTAAAATTATATTGTGCACAAAACTATTAAATAATATATATGAATGCTACGACCTCAAAGGTCGAGGCCAACCTACACTCACAACTTTACCTCGAACGTCAGAACTATGCTCCGCGTGGTTTCCAATCATACACCACAGGTGTCAGGTACTAAGGCATAGTTTAGCATGCCATTGAAAATCCTAGTCCTTGTCTTAATAACAATCATTTTGTATTATTTTGTCCACATAAAAGTCGTATACATGTTAAAAACAAAGCATTATGACCATAAATTTTTATTACTTATTTCAAGTATTTATTTGCTATAAAGTTATTGTACTGATGATGTAAAATTACAATAATGTTTTGTTAATAAGTCATTATTTTATGCAAGGGAATATAAAGTTGCATACTATTATGTGACTGACATTGAAAGCGATTATCGACGCATTGCAATTTTAACCGAAGATTGTGTTTAGACGTACGCTAAATAAACAATGCACCCGGGTGCTGAGCTAGTGTTATGATGACCGTAATACCGGTGCGGTGTAAACACTACTACCACTACTACTACTTGTGTCGTAGGGGCCCGAAGCTATAAGACGCCTAAGTGACTTTTTCAGAGTTAAATGTAAGTCAAAGTCAAAGTCAAAATCATTTATTTCAATTAGACCAGAGTGGCATTTTTGAACGTCAACAATAAAAATTTTAAAGTGTAGCTATTTGCTCATTCCAAGGTGTAGATTCTATTCTATGGAAAAGAACGAGCAAGAAACTCCATAGGTTGCTCTTTTCCAATCAGGTTCACAATACAATTCTCTAGTTACATAGAAAACTATGTAACTACTCAACTCAAATCTTCTCCGTGTGAGAAGTGGCCTTTGGTCAGCAGTTGCTACTTGTAGGCTGTTATTGATTATGAAATACTGTTATACATACCGGTCACAATTCCTGGGTCACGTTTTCAATTTGTCTCTAGTAGTCTAATCTGGAAAGAAACTGTGTTTTAGGTACGTGTGTGTATGAGATAAATCGTGTATAGTTACGTCAGAAAGAATTTATTATCTACTCTTTCCGCCGATGTAGACAGAGCCGACTAGAGACTACACAATCACATCCTGGGTATAAGAGAATCTACTTCGATAAAGATGCTATGCGTGGACATTATGGCACTCTCTTATGGTGAAGAGACCCATAGTCTAGCAATACACGGCCTCGGGCTTTTGATGTTGTACGTCAAGAATACCATAACAGTTCTATTTAGCTTATGATTTATAGTCTATACATTTATTTCTAATTTATATTGACGATAATTCTTCTCAATTTTTAGCCTATTCCTTAATTGTTACGTAGCATCAATTTGGATTTCTCATCATCTTGAGTATTTGTTATGTAGTTGACAACAGGTTTTCAAAACCTGGTTACTTCTACTGTAGGAAATTGATTAATTGCTAAGTTTTACCTCATGTGAACAGGTTTTATGACTTAACGTCAAGCTTCTACGAAAGTTTAGAGGTTGAATGTCGTTTTTATGTTAACACTCGAATTCATCGAGATTATCTTAAATACACCAACTTGTAATAATTATATGTATCACAGGGAATTTCATTTGAATGCTTTTCGCGAAGCGGATGTTTTATACAGGTTTTTAGTTTTTGATTGTTTTGGTTGAATAAATGAGCGTTAAAATCGAAAATGGTTTCCCAATACGTATCAGTGATATTCGGTTCGAATTCTAATAATATTTTTTTCTTTTCAGAGAAATACCCTAGACTTGTACATTTCACACCAAAGAGGTCCATTCTTCAAGGCTGAGTTCCAAACAGAATTAGATCTAAAAAGATTCCACATTGCAGACGTAACAGACAAACGTATATTCGTCTCTGTCATGCACACTGATGCCCTAGCGAATTTGTACGTGTCAGAGATAAGCAACAATTTCACACAGTACAACTTTGTGTTGAGTTTGGAACAAATATTGTGCTATTTCCCTGATGCTAACTGGAAGGACAGCTGGCTTGAGTGAGTATTATTTATGTATAAGTATTCTTTTCTGTTTTGTACCATAAGTATTAGTACTTAGTTTGTGCACCTCTGCTTATATCTCCAAGATGGAAAGGCTGTTGGCCTTTAATTTTTCCAATAAACAACTCAAATTTCTGGTTGTGTATGAACTGCATCTTTTACGTAGTCAGTTCCTATCGAAGGGAATGGCACCTTGTCACTTGTAACCTTGTCTGCAAGGACACAGTATTTTGGTTGCAGATTTATTTTAGTCTCAGGAATGTCAGTTTGAGGTGACATTCACAAACAGATCAATCATTTCATGTAGATATAAATATTGCGAGTAAACAAAGGGTATTTTTCAGGGATGTGACCGAAGATCCATTTACGGACTTGTACCGCGTTGAAGGTTTAAAAGGAATCTACATTGCTTCGCGAGTGGATTCGAAGGCCCTTGTGGCGAATATTGGACCTGAGCACCTGATTTCTCTGATTACTTTCGACCATGGAGTCACTTGGTCTCCTGTTAATCCACCCACTGAAGATGAGAATGGTATGCCCCTTTGTTATTTTTGTGTTAGAAACATACTTACACTAAATAGTTTGGCGTGGCGAATTTAGTACTACTTAGCTCGGGTTAGAATCAAGAAAAAAATTGGCTAATATGTCCATAACAATTCTTTTAAATTTCATTCAGTTGAAATAATATAGAAGTGACACTTTATTTATTTATAATCAACTTTGTTTATCATGATTAAATGAACTTGAGTAAGTTTTGTGAGATTATACTATACATGGTACAATGTTACGGTATAGTGATGATGATATAGTGGTCTCGAGTCTACTCAAGAGATATTTTTTATAGGTAAAAACTACTCCTTGTCCCAAGACTTACCTAAATGAGTAACAAAAAACAACAATACTATTAGTCCACTTGTTATGTTCCTTTCTACTACTCAGTAAGAATGTAACGAAGCATGAACAAAGTTATTTCAGTCGCCATAATAAGTGCTGCTACGATGTTTACTTGATACCTTATCGAGCCGCGTTACATTGAGTTTCGCGGCGACTTTTAATTACATTTCCTCAACGTTTATAGATCTGAGTTTTGCAACACAATGTCGATATTAAAAGGTTATTATTAGATTTTTCCTTTATTTCTACACTTATAGAGGTATTTTATACTCTTACATACGTGGTGTATATTAATTAGTTGACGTTGATGGTTGTTTAGCGTCGTGTTACATATATTTTACACCTATATACAGATGGACTTCCCAATAAGCAAGCTAAACTATCAAGTTGTTCAGTATTTGTCTAATCTCAATCTCACTTTGAAAGAAGGAAATAAAGAAAGAAAAGAGAAAGAAAAAACTTTATTTCACACGCTTAAACTGCAACCTAAAACCTATTGTTCTTTAATTGTGTCTATAATGACGGTATTCAAAGAGTTAAGAAGTAAGTGACATGTGTTATTTTGGTTCTCTTTCTCTCTTCACAGGCAAACCACTGAACTGCCACATTGAGAACTCTTGCAGTCTACACTTATGTCAGAAGTTCAGCCAACTGTACCCAGTTACAAGGTAAGATCAACAAAAACACTGATACACTTAAATGTTGTGCTATTGAATTTTGAACTTTACAAAAAGCGGTTTAAGGTCCATTTTAATTTAACGTGCGTTTATTTTTGGTTACCATATCGATAAGTTTAAACTACGTTATCAGTTCCGTAATATGGAGCAATAATAAACTCTTATTTGATTAATTAGTTACGCCTAATATTAAATATTGCTTATCGGATTAGTTAAATAAACTATTTTATGGTTAAGTTAGGTTCATAATGAATTTGATTATTCATAAACGTAACCAGTGTTATACTTCTGTTATAAAATATTAAGATAAATGAGGTATAAATTATGCATTACTAATTTATTTTTTACCATTTTACTAATATTACCTATATTAGTAATACATGGAAACGCCCAGTAAATGTTTTCTAGTTAAGTTTATTTAAATAGTGCAATTCCTATATGTGTATACCCAGAAATTATGGCTGCAGCCTTCCGATAACCTCATATTATACCTAAATTATAAAACGGACTTTCCTAGAGTGCAAAGTACAGGAAATATTTATGTAGGTATCAACCAAATAGATAACTTACAATAATATATTATAAAGATTGTTATTATATCCCTAAGGATAGGGAGTGTCTCTACTTCTATATCTCTGTTATTGTTACTTGAGTAGCTACTGAAACGCTACTGAACTACAATTATACAGATTCTATCACTAGCAATGAAGTTTGAAGGATCACCTAATGATAATTGGTCACCATGATTAGTACTCCTGCAATGCCTACCACATGTAAGAAACTGTTCAATCACACCATCATTTTCGAGGAACCCATCTTTCCAAAATTATAATATTTATTCGGCATATTTATGAATGTATGTGATATATTTACACTTTAAGAATTAAGATATAAGAGGTCACAATTTCCTATCATACTACTGTGAACCCCGACATAATAAAAATAAATAGATTACAGAGATATAGTATGAAAGGATCACACAATTCATACAACAGACATTTGTTTTAACGAGGTGGTTGACCAATGAATGCAACAAATTGTACGGCAGACACACACATAGATTAATTTAAAGCAAATAATAAGATAGCTCATTGTGTAAACTAAGTTTAAAAAATATATTTACGGAAATAATGGTCGGTTTATCACCGGTCAAAATAATGAAAGTGTTGATAGATTTGTATGTTTGTCTACCTATGATTATATATCGTCTCAAAGACACCTTGAACTTTGTTTGGAGTTCTGATAATATGTAGAATGTACAATACAGTATGATACATACATGTGTATGTTATGTTCATATCTGTTTTCTGTAGATATTGAAGTATCTGTTTATTATACGGTTTGTTGACCCGTTTTGAAAAGGAAGGAATCGTGTACGACTGCTTACTATAACTGTAATCTAACAAGTTGATAATTGTATTTGATTATATCTGATACTAGCGACCCGCTCCGGCTTCGCACGGGTGCAATATGCATGTATTATACATACAAACCTTCCTTAAGAATCACTCTATCTATTAAAAAAAACTGCATCAAAATCCGTTGCGTAGTTTTAAAGATCTAAGCATACATACGGACATACAGCGAAAGGGACTTTGATTTATACTATGTATTGATAATTATATCATAGTTATAGTTGCTTAGATCATGGTCAATCATGATCGATGGTCATAGGTCCGATTCGATAGTAGTTTTGAAGATTTTAAAATTATATATGCCTTACTAACATCACGTTTTATATCCCCGAAGGCGTAGACAGAGCGTGTACATTATGTCACTGCACAATGTAGCACCCACTTTTCACTATTTATGTTATGAGTCCCATGTAATAGGGGGTGAACCCATTGCCATATACTGGGTACAATTCCAAACTCCGTGCTACTACTGAGAATTTTAAAAAACCCAGTAATACATTGCCCTACTCGGGAATCGAACCCGAGACCCCTTGCCCGACAGGTGCACTTGCGACCACTCGGCCAACGAAGCAGTCGAATATATATATCTTACTACATCATAAACCGTGGATATAAATCGTGATGATCTTTATCAAATAAATACATACTTAGTTATTATAAAAACGTATAAAAAGTTCACAGTTATTTAGGTATTTTCCTACAGATTCTTCGATAAATATTTTCTCAACTACCTAGTGTTATTTAATTTATATCACGACTTCAAACACAAACAATATTAGTCACGTATTGACTAACCACAACGACCACAGTATTGTACCTCTAGGTAGTCTATTTCTCAATAATATACCATACTTTGCACTTTAGGTGATGATTCATTGTTCGACATATGGAATTTGTATAATAAGGCGCATCAGCCGTTCTATTATTTACTATAATAACCATAATATTCCAAGTTCTAGCGATAATATCGCGGTTTTATATACGTCAAAGAAATTATCGTACCTATGATTTTTATAAAAAAAAATACAGTTCACAGGAACTTTTATTTTTACATTGGTGAAAGTTTTAGTTGTCCTGTTGCAATCATCATTACCTCTTTATCACATTAATTTGTTAGTATACGTATATAACGGTATTTTAAAGTAATAAACTCTATATAATATGGTGTTAACTATATCTTATCTATACTTATTATAAAATTATTATATGTATAACTCGAGGGTTCTATATTATTATATTTTGAAGTAATATAGGTAGTACACACTAACAAATCTTGAACCGGTTTAAAATATTGGGGTGAAAAAATTCTAGAATACTTATAATGTAGTGATTAGCTAGGAGCTAGAAACAGCTAAATAGGTAAATATACGAAGTCATAACGCATCTGTGCTTAATGTTTTATGAAGATAACCCTTCTTGGTAGTTGGGTCAAAACGGTCATACATTACCTTATCACCTCTCTCTCTCCCTTCTATTATATAAAATTTTATACCATAAGAGCACCAACTTTGCTTCAATATTCACCAAAATGTTGGGAAGTTAGCACATTTATTGTTACTTAAACCGTTAAATTACTCACATAGTAATAATAATTGTGTTTCATATAAGAAAAATGCTGATAAAGATTAAAATTGCTTGCAGCCCACCTGGAAATGTGGTTGCGAACGGTTTGAGGTAAACTGACACGAATAGAGTGCATTATAGTTACTTGATTATGCTTTTTATTTAATTTGCACAGCACGAACATATGTGTTTATCCATTTTATTTAAATCAGTCCATTGGTTTATACAGTTTGTGGTTACATTTGCTTCATTATGGTTTCATCCACTCATTTCATCATTTGTCAATAACATTATTAAATGGCAATAGTTTTTATTCGATGTTTTATAATTTTATTGTAGAAGAACGTAGACCTCGATTCAGTACATCATTTTTAATATGTATTTGATTTGAGCATGGTAATATTTGCTGGTTATTTGTTGAAGATGTAAGTGTTCACAGAGGGAATCTGGTGAATGTTTGGTGTATCATATTTCATAGCATGATAGAGGGTGTCAATATATGTTGTCTATTATAGGTCAGCAAGTATTATGAGCTCGAAATCAGCACCAGGAATTATTATGGCCACTGGTGTCATGGGCAAGTCACTGAAAGGAATACCTGGCGTGTACATCAGTCGGGACGCCGGTCTCACGTGGAAGAGGATCCTCAAAGACTACTATTTCTTCAACTACGGTGACCATGGCGGTGTTCTAGTAGCTGTCAAGTACTTTAAATCTCGTGGTGAAACGAGAAAGATACTGTATTCGACGAACGAAGGCATCGAGTGGAACTCTTATCAGTGAGTCACTGCTGCAGTTATGTTATCAATATTTAATTAATTATTTGTTTGTCGTTATTAACAACATTAATTTGTAGGTTCAATGCCGATGACCTGCGCATCTACGGACTAATGACCGAGCCTGGAGAGAATACGACAACGTTTACTATGTTCGGTTCTGCAAACGACCAACATCAGTGGATTATAATTACAATCGATCTGCGAAATACTTTCACTCGCAACTGCACTGATGACGACTACAAGTACTGGTCTCCTTCGCCTCCTAATTCATCGGTCTCCTGCGTGCTCGGTACCAGAAACACTTTCCAACGACGTCTCGCCCACACGAACTGCTATAACGGAATAGATTACGACAGACCATTCAAAAAGGAGACTTGCGAATGCAGTCGCAGAGATTTTGAATGTGATTTCGGATTCATGCTCTCTGGCAACGAATGTATCCACAACAAATCCTCAAAATACGATCCGTATGCCGTGCCTGCAGATTGTCAGCCTGGTCACTTCTACTGGCGCACTAAAGGTTATAGGAAGATCGATGGAGATGTATGCAGTGTCTCAGGATACATGGCGTACGTCCCTGATCTGATCCCCTGCCCTCTTGAAGAACCAACAGAATTCATGCTAGTCGCTCTCGGTAATAAAATCGCTCGCATTGATCTCTCTGAAAACACGACTATTTACCCCGTGGTGAACGAAAGGAACATCGTTGCCATCGAATTTGACATAAAGAACAACTGTATCTATTGGGCTGACATAGAATTGGATAAGATCAGTCGTCAGTGCTTCAACAATGGCACGACACAAGAAGTAATTGTTGACAGAGACCTCGCCAGCATAGAAGGAATGGCGTTTGATTGGATTTCTAACGTTCTGTTCTTTGTCGATGGCTTGAGGAAGAAGATTGAAGCTGTGAGAATAGATATGATTAAGGAAACCAGAATGAGGGTTACTATTTTGGATTCGAAAGTCTTATCGCGACCGCGCGGTATTGCAGTACATCCAAAAGCAGGCTTTCTATTCTGGACAGACTGGGACAGGAACAACCCCTCAGTTTCTAGGTCAAACCTTGACGGTAAAGACGTTGTGAAATTGTTCGGCAAGCCAATAGTCCAGTGGCCAAATGGCATAACGATCGATCAGATGTCGGAGAGGATATACTGGGTGGATGCTATGGAGGACTACATCGCTAGCTCTGATTTGAATGGCAAGTACTTCAAACGGATTTTCTCGAACGATCAGAGAGTAACACATCCGTTTGCTGTAGCGGTGCTGAAAGACAAGATGTACTGGGACGATTGGAAAGAGAAGTCAATATTCGTGGCCGACAAAGACAGTGGAATGAATGTGATGACGATTAATGATTCGTTCGTCGGTTTGATGGATTTGAAGGTGTTCGCTCACTTCGTGCAGTACGGTAGTAACGCCTGTTCGTACAAGAACACTAGTTGTGACACAATATGTTTGGGTGGGCCGGGCAATACATTCAGCTGCCTGTGTCCTGATGGCCTGTCTATGATTGGTGGGAAGTGCATGTGTTCCAATAACACGGAGCCCTACGCGAACATGACTTGCCCCGAAACAGAAGTATCTACTTGTGGATTGGTAAGTTCATTCTCATTAAGTACATATTGTTCTCTATTTTTGTAGGTTATCATAGTGTTGATTGAATTTCTTTGTTATGATTTGTACCTTTATCAATGTTATCGGTCTACTCACGTCAGTAATAAGCTGATTGTGAGGGCCGGGATTAGTGTTATCTATGTAGGTGTTTATTTTTGTAATGTAAACAATATTAGGTATGTCAAAATTCAAATTTCAATGAAATATTTAGCTTCCTGGGTTTTCAGTTTGAAATTACACGTTAATAACTCAGTACTCGGTATGACGGGTGCCTATATTATGTAAAATGTAGGTTCGCTCTCTATAATGTACACATAACGATGAGATAAGGAGATAGGTAATTTACGATAAATGGTGTATATGTATCACGCGTGGTCTACACATTTAGACCCATGTGATATTATTACAGAATATAATGTAGCACACACTACACAGTACTGGGTATCTGGGGAGTACCCCAGTTGTGTTCTAACTTAGGTACTGTTATAACTTCCATGTAATAAGCCTATCGATATAAATAGATATTTATACCAATAAAAAATCTAGATTCTGTATTAATAACCTAGAATTTCAAAATAAATCTGATATCTAGAGTTCTTGGAACATTTATTTTGTTCTCTAATTTCCAACAATTTGCATATTTCTTATGTATTTCCCACCCTCAGGAGGAGTTTACATGCAAGAATGGGAAGTGTATATCCTCGTTCTCTCGTTGCGATGGTAACAATGACTGCGGAGACCTGTCCGATGAGATCGGTTGTCTCTGTGTGCCGCCGATGATCATGTGTGACAATACACGATGCTACCTGCCACACTGGAAGTGCGACGACGATATTGATTGCGCTGATATGAGTGATGAAAAAGGTACTCTTGATTTTCGTTTACTTCTGGTTTGTGGGTGTAAACACGCTGTTTTATACGCTTGACGCTTGAGTGGTTGGTCGATACCCGCGCGGATCAACTATTTGTGTTAAAACGAATTATTGTTTACTAATATTCCTTTGTTTGTGTGATATGGATGTGAATTTTTTTTTATGGTATAAGCCGGTAAGCGAGCAGACGAATCACCTGATGGTAAGCAATCGGCGTCGCCCATGGACACCTGGAAGACCAGAGGCGTTACAAGTGCGTTACCGGCCTTTTGGGGATTAGGAGTTTGAGGATCGTTGGGGATTCAGGGA